TTTAATATTTGGTTGAATATATATATATATATAATTATTATTTAAAAAAATAAATAGATATTATAAGAACTATTTCTGAGATTTAATATTTGGTTGAATATATATAAATGAAGAGAGTGAGATATCTTTGTTGATTGTGAGTGGTTAGGAAAATAATATGTAGAATGAAAACTATTTAAATAATATTTTTCATAATGATCGTGATTGACGTATTAGATTTGTTCGATTAGAATTTTATTTTATTTTTATTTTTTTGTGTGATAAACATGCGTCGAATCACAAAAGAGAGTGAATATCCACATATCGATTAGATATTCTTTAAAAAATAATAAGATAAATTCATATAGAAAATCAATAGATTCTTTCCTTTGTTTTGTTTTTTTTTTTGCATATTCCATGTATTTCTTTCCATCTTAGATTAATTAATTATATTTGAGTCGTATAAATGTTTTTTTTTCTCATCCCATCACGATTTGAATGTCATATGAAAATACATATAATATTATCGACATATACTTAATATTATTTGGATTTATTTTTTGTTATACAAAGTAAGCTCGAGAGCAAGAATAAATGATTCCTTTTAATAAAAAGATAAGTGATGAAGGTGAGCCTAAATCTTATAATAAATTGTTATGATTTTTAGCTAAGCTAAACTAGTTATCAAGAATAAGTGATATTATTTCATAAAGTTTCATGGGCATATTAAAATATCATTAATATATATTCTTTTTTTTATCATATGACGCCCAGCATATTTATTTTTACCTAAGGATATTTTTTACTTAAACAAAAATACCCTCACTACTTACCTAAATGACTTGATTGAAAAAATCTTAATTTTGATACTGAATTATCATATTTTTTTAAAAAAATAAAAAATAGTACTAGTCAGCAGCTCAACTTTTTTTTTTTATTTTTATATAAATAAATATGAAATATATATGTATATATGTGTGTATATATATAATACATTCGAATAATATTTTTCATTTTGATTGTGATTGGTTTAGTAGATTTGTTCGATTCATTTTTTATTTTATTTTTATATTTTATGTGATAACCATACGTTGAATATCCATGTATCGATTAGATATTAATTTAAAAATAATAATATAAATCCATATAAAAAAAATCATAGATAATACTCATAAACACAAGATTCGAACCTAAAATATTACAATAAACTGTCAAGATCCTTAGCTAAGTTAAATTAGCTGTCCAAAATCAATTATTTTTATAAAAAATCCTTAATATTAATTTTTTTTTTCGTATGACCCTCTCCATATTTGTTTCTACCTAAGGATATATATATATATATATTTACTTAGATAAAAATACCCTCATTAATATTAAAAAAATTCTTAATTTAAAAATTAATCATTCTAACTTTTATAAATAAAAAATAATTTAATCATTTTAAAATCATGATTCTAAGATTAATATATCATTTTTATTTTAAAAATTTATAATAATTAGTTATCGATTTTTTGAATAACATATGTGATCAAGTTATTTTAGTAAGAGACGGAGTATATTTTTGACTATAATTGTTTTATCTTTCTTGAAAGTTTATATTGTAATTTTTTTCTTTTGTGCACTAAAAATCGATAAATCTGATTTAAAAATTAGCCATCTCTATCGGTGAGTAGATTCGCGTGGGCGGCTGCGCTATTAAAGATAAAAATGAACTCTTACTTTTGAGTTCTTTCTTCCTTCACCCTTTTTCCAATCAAAGTCAAAAAGAACAAGTGATGTAACTAATGATAGTGGCTTGAGCAACTTTTTCTTTTGTCCAACTATATATTAACTCAACCATAAAGCAACTTAAAGAATTCCAAAGTTTTGATGACCAACAACATTTCTATTAACTCCAATGGGATAAGTAATATAACAACTAATTAAACTTAGACTCATTTATTTAGTGTTCATAAATTCATTTTAAGTATTCTCTCATTTTATGTCTCAATCATGATATTATATTTACTATTATTAGTATAAATATATGTTTAGTAGTATGTCCAATTGTGAGCTCGTAATTAACATTCGAGTTAGTGTCCGATCAACGTTGTCATAATCGTCATAACATTGGAGCTTTTTACTTATAAATGCGGGTCTTATGAATCTTGATTTTTCAAAAAACTCAATCCATTTTTGTGTGAGAATATTTTATTAAGAATGTCTTTAATATAAGTTATGAACACACTTTGAGTCGTGATTTTTTATCATCACTAATTGAAGTTGATGCATGGCTTGATAAATATTGAATCATACATATAATGAGTTCGTCAATTGGGCTAATCAAGTATACTAGGAAATATTATAGTTATCAAGGATCTAATATTAAACTATTTGATGGTAAAAAGGCATGTCGGACTCTCAATTTTATATTTTATTTGAGTTGATTAAGTTCATTAATGATATGTATATATATGAAGGTAACGAAGACTCCACGTAAGCCCACCACAAGATACAATATTCCAATGTCATTAGTACCTCATTATGTGAGATCAAATGGTCACTCGTACACTACAAGCAATCATTCAATCAAATCGTTAGAAGAAAATATACAATATAAAGGATATGAAATATATAATGTATGAAGATGCAATGCATTAGAATTGGAGTACCAAATCGGCCTAAATGGTTGCTTATGATTCAGCCCAATTGTGACCCACCATAGAACACCACAACTTGCAACTCTATCCGTAAAAGTGTCATCTAATATGATCCATCATCAACATGATGAATTATCTATTTATTTTACATTTTCAAAAAAAAATTCAAAAATTATTGATTCAAGAATCGAAACCGAAATCGAAACCATCGATTCGTTCTTATCTAATTTTCGATAAACTAAAATCGATGATTCTAAAACGAAGGTCGACGACGACGACGATCATGCTTCTCGCACTCGGGTCACTAATGGAGCACTTAAACCCGCATTGGATCATCCACTAAGTAGAATTTTATTGGTAATTCGCCACCAAAGCCTTTGGTTGGGCAATCCAAATCAAGTGAAGTGATGTATACGTATGATGTCAACATGATAACATTTTAATGGTGCCTAACGTTTCGATAAGGTGGTGTCGTATTTTACAGATCAAACATCGCCATCCAATCTTTATGGCCATCGACATCAAGCGAGCTACGTACTCGTCCCTTCTGTACAGTGACCATAGGTTGACAGAATCCACACGGAGATCACACACACAGTCGTCAGTGAGTGAGTGAGGTGGTGGTCCTCGTCACTGTTGGTGGTGGTGAGCATGCATGACTCGAGCTAAAAGTTTGGAGTTGTATGCCTATGATTGATGAGTTTGACTTTACTGCGAAACAATGCCACATTAATGTCATTTCTGATCCATTCCAATTCCTTGGATGATCAATAAGAAGAAAAAGAAACAGTACACATATGATATATGTTCAAATGATTGAGTTGCACTCTTCACTCACTTGGGTGGCTGTGAAAGTGATGCTAACCAAACACCTCTTTAATGCTTTCTTGCTTGCTTGCTGTGTTTCAATTTTTGGTGCCTTGTGCAAAGGTTAAGAAGATCTTCTTATATCTTATCCGATTATAACTTACATATACGTATGAAATCTTGAGAATTTTAGGGTATACATCTCGAGTGATCGATCGCCTATCGTAAGTCTCTCACTCGAAACATTAATATATTTTCTTTTTAACCCGCAGATATAATGTGGTCAGAACAAGTTAGACATGTTTCGAATCTTTAGAGCTTCGTTGATCCAATTATAAATTTATCGATGTCGAAGGATTTCGCTCGTGTCTTATTTCCACGTTTGTGTTATAAAAGATTTATTTTTAAAATAAGAGATGATCGATAACGTTCTTTGAAATATAAATCAATCGGTTTCAAAATCAATATATTATTAGTTTAATACTCGATCTAACGTGACTGTTGAGTGCGTCAAATCGATCTTATTTGTTCTTGACGTAATCATAATTTTATAAATACTTATCTTCGAGACGAGTGACGAACAATAACTTCATCCGACATAAAAAAAATCAGTCGATTTTATATCATAATATAAAATAATTTTTATGCTTACATTATAATTATTTTATGCAATTGTAACTGAAATACTTGGAATTAGGTCATGAATGTTCAGACCAACCAAATCTTTGAGATCTACCGCAGACAACACTATGATCTTTGTGAAAAGAGACAACACAGTGATGTAAGAAACCTTTCATCCTTATGAATCAATGATGATGTCCTCGGTTTGACATCATCCCAACGGTGAAGATCGTCTCCGCCAACCCCACCGACCGATCCAAGCCGTCCAATCCCCCTGTCGCATGCAAACAAACCCACCTCGTTTCCCCCTTTTAGCACTTCCCTCAATTACCAAAACGCCCCCACCTGACCGCTACAGTCGCACCGTGACGGTGACGTCACTTTGAGGTCAGTTTGGGAATTGGCCGGAAAAGTCCTCCGTAATATTATGATAATAATAATAATAATGATTTATTAGCTTTTAATTGTGTGGCATAGAGATCTCAGGTGAGTATAAATTTAGAAGGAATAATGGATAAAAAAAAGAAGGAAAATAATAATTAGTAATATTTTTATTTCCTTCACGCCGTGGACCACTTTATCTCTCTACGATGGTCCAAAAGATTCCCCCACCAATCACAGCACCCATCTCTGCCGTCCGATCCCTGCACGGATTACGAGGACCCACCCACCCATTCACGTCCGTGCTCTTTCGCCTCCTCGTGTCCACCGACTCCCCTCCGTCCTGATCTCGTTTCCCCCGGTCATCGGTTCCCGTTCTCCGTTGGCGATTCTCGCAGGTACGGACCGGAGGGTACACGTACACTCCCTCGTTTCCCGCTTTTCCCGATTCCCTAACCTCTTTGGCGTTTCTGGCTGATATGGCCCGGGTGGTACACGTACGCACTCCCCCTCTCGGCTCGGCGTCGTCGCCATGTGGGTAAGGACGCCGACCGCGACCTTGTACCGAACGCATCGGACGGAACGGATCTGTCCACGGATTCGTCGGGACCGTCCATCGCGAGAACCGAGCTCGCTTCAAAGCCAGGAGAGGCACCTCCCCAAATCGGAGCTCGTCTCATATCTTCCCCATGGTGGGGTTCCCCACGGGACGTCGCCTCCCCGGGCTCTCCGCCGTTGGATCGTAGCGTCGGCGGAGGAGGAGCTCCGATCGGACGGCGGAAATGGTGCGGGGCTTCGGATGGGCGGCGGCGTTCCCCGACGAGGTGTGGGAGCACGTGTTCTCCTTCCTCGCGGCGGACGCCGACCGGAACGCGGTGGCGCTGGTGTGCCGCGCGTGGCACCGGATCGAGCGGCGGTCGCGGCGGCGGGTGTTCGTTGGGAACTGCTACGCGGTGGCGCCCGCCGCGGCGGTGCGGCGGTTCCCGGAGGTGAGGGCGGCCGCGATCAAGGGGAAGCCCCACTTCGCGGACTTCAACCTCGTGCCCACTGACTGGGGCGGCGGGGCGGAGGCGTGGGTCGAGGCGATGGCGGAAGGGTGGCCGCATCTGGAGGAGCTGCGCCTCAAGAGGATGGTCGTCTCCGATGACTGCCTCGAGCTCATCGCCCGGTCATTCAAGAACTTCGGGGTACTGTCTCTCGTCTCCTGCGACGGTTTCAGCACCGCCGGACTTGCGGCCATCGCTGCCAACTGCAGGTCGGACTAATTTCTCTTCTCTCTCCCTTTATTTGCTAGCTTTGGGCGTAGATTTGGTACTTTTGATGATAGAAATATTAGTAATTGCCGTGGATTTTGGATAAAAAATTAGTATTTATGTTTCCATTTTGCTAAATCACGCAGAGAAAAAAAAATATAGGAGTCCGAGAACTCGATTCTTGTGTTGCCTTTAGTGTTTTTCGTGGTCAAAATTTTCGATTTTGTTCTTTTATTTTTGTCCTTCTTTGGATTTAGCTTGCAAGAGCAAGGATGCCATAGTTCTTTCGGTAATCTGCTTGAGGAGATGGTCAATTATAGAAAGCAACAATGTTCCTTTGAACACAGTTTCTGCCATTTTGATTGACTGCATTAATCTTCCTTGGGAACACCGAACTGGGAGGTTTTCAGATCCATAAGATTTGGTAATGAAACGAGTCAGCGTGGACTTTAGTAGTAGTGAGTTGCTCAATTTGGAGAGCATTAATAAGGATGATGTCCCGAAAAAAAAGAAAATAATTTAAGGACAAACATTTCCTTTTCACCTTCAGATTTCTCTATGATGTGTGCTTTCTATTTAGGGAAACATCCTCTTCTGGTTAAAGTAGAAAAGCAGGGATTGCTTGTGCTTGCACATTAAACACTGACCATGGGAAAATTGTTGTCATCGTTGGTTCTGTTGGCATTTTGTTCTCTTGCCATCCTTATTCTAGTTATGTTGTGTGTTTTGTTCCTGAAACCTATTTGCTGCTTTCTTTGATCTCTTAGACTGCTTCGCTATTGCCAATAGATTTCTCTTGGCTATTTTCATCCATTTCCTCTAACTTGTTTGTTTATGAGACTGGTAAAATTTGTCTAGAGTTGGTATGTTTCCCAGATTGAGATAATGTTTAGCAAAAATAAACATTAAAAATAAGTAGGATTTCCTTTTTTAAGTTGAACTTAGCACGAGAGCTGAATTGTCAAAGGCGGCATTCAACAGACTGAAATATATTATACTTCATTTCAAGGCTTGCACGTTCCAGAAATATAAGTTAATACTCTTGGTTCTTTGAGAAACTGTTAATGTTAAAGGGAATTATGGGGAAAGCTTACAGTGGTATATCGATGTCATAAAAAAGGGTAACGTGAGTTATGCCATGGACAAGGGATGCTTACCATCTTACATGCATTATTGACTAGTCTGGATAATAACCTACTCAAGGCATAGAGTGTCTGATGAGGTCTGTAGACAGGCAGTCATGCATTCTTATGCAAGGAAGTGTTTGCTCATAAAGGATCGCCTGAAAGCTGAATATATTTCCAAGAAAACAGAAATTGTTAAGATGTGTTTACCATGTGACCATCTTTCAGGATGAGACAGCATCTTCTTTTTTGATCATTATTCTTGTGAATAAATGTTTTCACGTGGGCATTTTCTTCTTGCATCAATGTATTTGCTCCCTTGACCATTGAATTACAAGTCTTATTCCTCTTGAACAATTTTGATTTTCTCTCATTGATTCTACTATTAGTGGTGCGATTTCTTCTGGGTCCTTCCCCACTTCCTTTGCAATGCTAATAATCTCGTACTTTTTCTTCTTGGTTAGACTCCATTCTTCACCGCTTCTCTTGGTGACTCTAATAATCTTCTCCTTTGTCCTTCTTGGTTAGACTCTGTCCTTGCTTCTCTTGGTGATGCTCTGAATTTTCTCCTTTTTTCTTCTTAGTTATATTCCCTTTTCCCCTTCCCTTTGGAGCCCAGTCCTTTGTTTGATTTCTCTCCCTTGTCCTTGCTTTTGCCCACATTGAGGTCATGCCTGAAATTTACCAGGTTCTGTTCATCTCATTAGGTCTTCACCAGTTCATACATCAGTGGGATTGGAGGTGGCAACATTGGTTTCCGTTGCTAGTGCGGGTGTGAACGAGCAATGAGAAGTCTGTTGTGGCAGCAGACGGCATATGTTGTGTTCCAAAGATGAGTAGGTTACTACAAGTAAGAAAACAATGGTCGACCAGTACAATTAGTTGTCATATTCCATGTTGTAGAGAGCACACAAGCAGAGGTTGACTGCATAGAGATGGGAAGAAGAGAAGAGTTAAAAAGAGAGAGTCATGTGCATGACACACACAGTTTACTTGTTTGGTAGGCTTATGTTCACAAGTGAAGGTGAAAGGAGGGCTTCCCTAGGAGACAAAGTACAATAACAGTCAGTGATAACCCCTAAGACAAAAGTTTCTCAAGTATATTACACTCTCTCAGAAAACCCCTGAAGGCCCAAATTTAAGATCTAGTAGAAAATAAATTGAATGCCCGGGCTCTAAGAGTTAACAGATACATGTATACATACATGTACGGATTGTACAGACTGTCCCTTGTGTTTTTGCTGCTGAGTTCAGCAGATATACCTTACCTTCTGTACTTTGGAGCTGACCAAGTGAAAGAAAAACAGCACGACTTTTTTTGTGGGTGAATTATTGACATTCTCCTTTTAATGAAAAATGAAGGCTGAAAGACGGAATATTGTTTCTCATATTATTTTATACATAAACCTGCCTAGGTGTTTTTGCACTTAAAGTGGGCTGTACTTTAGGAAATTGCATGTAAAGGAGTTCTTTTTTTACTTCATCTTCGACAGCCACTTCTATGTCAGATTGAGTTACTTGTTGTCATAAGTTAACCTAACATTTTTTGTTAAGGTAAAACACTACCGACATTCATGAATTTAGCCAAATTTAATGATCAGTTTTCTTATCATCTTTCTAGTCACTAACGACCCACTTGCATTGTAGTGATAATAACGATTCTCATCTCTTGTTTCCAAGGTATCAAAACTAAGTCATTGTATATATTATCCATCCTCATGATAAAGGAACCTAATTGACTGGATTTTCTTTTTCTTGATAAATTTCTATCTTAACAGGAATCTAAGGGAGCTAGATCTGCATGAAAATGAAGTGGAGGATAATTGTCTAAATTGGATCAGCCATTTTCCAGAGTCATTTACTTCTTTGGTTTCTCTCAACATTGCATGCTTGGAAGGTGATGTGAATACATCTGTTCTTGAATGTCTCATTAGCAGATGTCCGAATCTCAGAACTCTCAGACTCAACCATGCCATGCCTCTAGAAAAGCTTGTTAGTCTCCTACAGAGAGCTCCGCAGCTGATGGACCTTGGAACTAGCAAGTTCTCGGCAGATCATCATCCAGAGCTTTTCTTCAAGCTTGAATCAACCTTTGCTGGCTTTAAACATCTGAAGAGCCTATCAGGTATTTGGGAAGCTGGTCCAGCATACCTTCCAGCAATCTATTCCGTCTGTGAGAGTCTTACATCCTTGAACCTGTGCTATGCTACCATACAGAGCCCAGAGCTCTTCAAATTAGTCAGCCGGTGCAAAAATCTGCAACGATTATGGGTATATATCCATCTTTCAGTCTCTCATATATCATGGGTAGCAACTACATCTCTTTCATATGCTAGCTCACTCATCTAATGATAGGGTCTGGCTCGTATAGCTGGCATGTCTTTTCCATTGTATTGTTCATCTTTTCTATCCTGGCATCTTTTTTTTCATCTATTGAGCACTGACAAAAGCTTCATAATGAATTTAGATTAAGCCAGTGATTGTTTTGTTTTCTTATGCTGCTTTCGTCTTTGCTATGGGAATAAATTTCATTAGCAGATGTCAGTCAGTATTTTAGGAGGAATTCTGATGGCCACCAGTAGTTTATTCGATCTCGTGTTTTTGGCCATGTTAGTTGTCCCAAATATATGCTTACCAAGAAGAAACCTGTTTTGTTCAGGTGATGGACTTAATTGAGGACAATGGCCTAATTGCTGTGGCAGCATCATGCAAGCTCCTTCAAGAACTGCGAGTATTCCCTTCTGACCCATATGGTGTGGCACCACCCATCTCTCTTACAGAACATGGCCTTGTTGCGATCTCTGCCGGTTGCCTGATGCTCCACTCTGTTCTCTATTTTTGCCGGCAAATGACTAATGCTGCCCTCCTTACTATTGCTAACAACCGTCCCAATCTCACATGCTTCCGTCTGTGCATCATCGAACCGCACACCCCGGATTATATTAGTCAAGAACCTTTAGATGCTGGCTTCAGTGCCATTGTTGAATCCTGCAAAGACCTCCGGCGTCTCTCCTTATCTGGTCTCCTCACTGACCGTGTGTTTAAGTCAATTGGGGCCTCGGCAAATCGTCTTGAGATGCTCTCAGTTGCTTTTGCTGGTGATAGTGATGCGGGTCTTCACTACATTCTCTCTGGTTGCAAGAACTTGCGCAAGCTGGAAATTAGGGACTGCCCATTCGGGGACAAGGCTTTGTTGGACAATGCTTCTAAACTGGAGACAATGCGATCCCTTTGGATGTCATCATGCTCTGTGACCTTGGGGGCGTGCAGACAACTAGCACTGAAGATGCCACGACTTAACGTGGAGGTCATCGATGAGAGGAGAGGAAGGCCGTTGGAGTCGTGGCCTGATGATTTCCCCGTCGAGAAGCTCTACATCTATCGGACTGTTGCAGGTCCAAGATCAGACACTCCACCATGTGTTTGGACAGTTTAAGGTGGTGACACCCCATAGTATGGGGGTATTATGTTGCATCTTTCGGTTTGTCTTCTGCTTATTAATTTGTTTTCCATTAGTTGTGTGGTTCTTAGATTTCAGCAAGAGTTGAAGCTTTAGTTGTCAATATGTTGTGGAACTGTATGATTTGTGGCAAGTTGTTGTAGGTCTCTAGAGGTGTTTTTTGTTTTTAGGCTTTTGTTACCTCCATGCAGTGTATTGCAACTTCACACAGAACTGCTCTTATATTCACACTTCTTCAGATTTAGTTTACCTGATTGTGTGTTTAGGTAATAGCTAATGCAGCAGTGTAGTCAGATTTCCTGTCTTGGTTGTTGTTTTTTAAGGAATGTGGGGATGGTTTCTCTTTCATAATCTTCATGATGGTTTTTGCCCCCTAAACTAAAGGCAATGCTATTGGAAATGCAGATATGGTCAATTACCAGGATGTTAATCCACTGTGATCTCAGGGAACATTACAAGTCCTTTAATTTCTTGGAGGACAAAATAAATTGGAATAGAAAACCTTTGGCCACTTGTCTGTTGGCAAACAACACAGGAGAGAACAAATATGGAATGGATGCTTGTAAATGCTGTAATTAGAAAGATGCTTATATATTCTGTAATTAGAAAGGGTAAAAGTAAATTATAAATTATAAATTTAAATACTAAATCTAATCAAGAATATAATTTTTATATATCTCATTGATGGTAAAAGATCTATATTTTTGGCCTATGCTTGTTATATTTATCAATATTAAGCTAATTATCTTTGATACATCCCATCATTAAGTTCCATTGTAAACATCTCATATGCATGATGTCATGAAACCCAACATGTTTTGGTAAAATAAGGTTCAATTAGGATTTAATATGAAATTCCTATAAATTTCTATCATTTTATGATCCATATCCCACTCTCAAAGTCAAAAGGATTCAACTTCCAGTGCCTCATTCCATACAAAGAATTTACCAATATGATTGCCTTAAAATGATGAAGAATGAAGCTGAATAGTAACAGAGGTCTTGTCTACCAAGGATTTGCTACTTCAAGAACAACAGAGGTGTACAAATACTGTGCATGCTCTCCCTCCCTCTTGAAGAGAAAGGTGGAATAATAGGATCCACCATGTCTGGAATTATGAACAGTAAAGAAGAACAAAGCTCAGAGGTCTTAGGAAGTCCAGACAAATCACCATAGAAACAGCTTTCCTCTCAAAGGATCAGACACAGACACAGAAAAAGCAAACATCATCATGCAAAGAGGGAACAAATGTCACAAGAACCCAAAACAAAGTGTAATTCTTCTCCATTAGATGAGGAAGAACAACTCTGAGCTTTTATTTCTTTCTGACACTTGCAACCCCTAAACCATGGGAAGTAAAATAAAAAAATATTTTTTTTTCTTTTTGCTGGCATAAATAAAGTGCATGCCTTCAAAGAAATCCTCTTGGTAGTCTTCATGGAAGAGAGCATCATGACCTTCTTGTGTGGGTGATTGAACCAATTCAGTAGAAATCAGAACATGGGCATTGAAACCTGCATGACACAAGCATTTGCTTCCCCTAAAAACCTTTGATGCTTGGTGATGATCACATTGACCTGATTAAGATATTGAAAAGGTTTGTATAATAAATGTAGTATGCTTCCTGAGTCCAGGTCAGGCAGATGCTATGGAATTGGAATTTTCTTATCCATCCTTCACCAGAATATTTATTTTTCTGGTCCATCTGCTTCCCTAATCATCATGCTTCATATTCTCTTCTGGTGGCCACCTTCCTATTGGCACTTTCTTGTCTTTAATTGGCCACATCTTCTCTATCCTGATGACTCTTCTCTTTTCTAAAGCAATTATTCTGCTTCGAAATACTCTCTGTTCCTCACCACTTCATTCTCCTGTAATTTGAGTGCAGACTCCTGCGTGGATAAGCTTTCCTAAAAGCAGAAGATGTTGGTGGCTGCTGAGATCAGAATATATCCTGCAGCACTTCATGTGAAGAAGCTCTTTCCCTCAAGCAAGAATGAGATTCCTCTCCTCTGGCCACCGCGAAGTGATGATCCACAAGCAACACCGATTCTTCCTCTCTCTCTCTCTCTCTCTAATAAGTGGAAGGAGAG